GGGGCGAGGCCCAAGGAGGAGGGGCTAGAGAGGCGCTGGCGTGTGATGTCACGGGGGAAGGGGGGTTGCTGGGCGACGCGGAGGAGATGACGTACGGGGACAGGGCCGGTGGGGGATTTAAACCCAGGGCTGGCACCGCGGAAGAGGGAGGGAGAAATGGAGAGTCAGGGAGGAAGGAGGCTGGAGAGGTGAGGCTGGGATACGCGTAAGGGACCGGCCCTTAGGAAGGACGGAGTAGGAAGCGGCCCAAGGCGAGGTCATGGAGCCCGTGAGCGGGTGTGTTTTGGGGCACTTCCCCCATCCGCTAGGGAGGGACCGTGAGTCCCTGCCTTCAGTGCCCTGGGCCGGGGTTCGGAGAGGGGGTGGACCCGAACCCCCCTACTCCGCTGGCCAGAACAGACAGCCTCAGTCGTCCTCTAATATAATCGAGGGACTGGGGAACCGGGCGTGCTTGCTCCGCGGGTTGTGCCTAGGTCTACGGGACTATCCCGGAATTGCAATAAATATGGGCAACCGTAGCCCTTCTTGGGGTGAGCGAGGTGAGACGGGGTTCGGAGAGGGGGTGGACCCGAACCCCCCTACTCCGCTGGCCAGAACAGACAGCCTCAGTCGTCCTCTAATATAATCGAGGGACTGGGGAACCGGGCGTGCTTGCTCCGCGGGTTGTGCCTAGGTCTACGGGACTATCCCGGAATTGCAATAAATATGGGCAACCGTAGCCCTTCTTGGGGTGAGCGAGGTGAGACTCTTTTACATTTTACTAGTGGACATTTCATTAAAACTACTTGAGGTAGGCTTTATTATTACTACTTGTTATTCCTCGTCATACCTAATACGTAGGGGTTGATCTGATTGATTTTAATACTAGTTTTGGACACTGAGCAACTGACATGATCAGGCCATTACAGAACACCTTTCATCTAAGGTGTACAGATGTTAGCATCTTAGTGTGGAAAGTATGATCCTATTTTTCAGAAAAGGGAACTGAGAAGGTAGAGTCACATGACATGCTCAAGCTCACATGAGAAATAGATTCCCTCAATTCCTTTACTTTACCCCCAAATCATCCTTCCTCTCTGTTAACATAAACTTCTTTATATTTATTGCAGGTTGAAACTGAAGATGTGGGGGATGTATACAAGATTCGGGTCAGCTGTGATATTTTGCCAGACTTTGAGGGCTGGCATCTGAAGTCCTTTCACATGCAAGAGCTACATACTAAACAAGAAGTGAACTTTGACTGTAACTGCTGGCTTTCTATTAACAAAGAAGATCAGGAACTAGTGAAAGAATTCCCTGCAGTGCATGAGAACCAGAGACCTTTACCAGGTAAAAATAACAAAGGAGACAGGAACAATGTGAACCAGCCTTTGAAAAATAATCAATTGGGCAAATATTATATTTAATCATTCCCTGTACTGCATATCTACAGTGGTTCCACAGCAACTCCATGTGCTGTGATAATATTTTAAAAATCTCTCCCAGTTAAATTAGAAATTGTGCTTAATAATTGCCTAATCTTGGGCATAACACAAAGGGTGTGTCTAGACTACACCTCTCTGTCGACAGAGATATGTAGATTAGGCACATCGAAATTGCTAATGAAGAAGGGATTTAAATATCCCGTGCCTCATTAGCATAAACATGTCAGCTGCTTTTTTCCAAAACGGAGTTTAAAAAAAAAAAAGGCAGTCTAGATGCGGATCTGTCAAAAATAAAGTCTTTTTCGACAGATCCGCATCTAGACTGCTGGTTTTTTGAAAAAACTCCGTTTAGAAAAAAAGCGGCAGCCATGTTTATGCTAATGAGGCATGGGATATTTAAATCCCTGCTTCATTAGCAATTTCAATGTGCCTGATTTGCATCCTTCTGTCGACAGAGGGATGCAGTCTAGACATAGCTTAAGGGTACATCTACACAGCAGGGCAAAAGTTGAATTAAGTTACGGAACTTCAGCTATGTCAATTGCATAGCTTTGAATTAAACTATTTTAACTAGCTTTTGGTGCTGTCTACATAGCAGGAAGTCGAAGGAAGAACACTCTTCCTTTGACTTCCCTTAGTCCTTATGAAATGAGCGTTACCATGAGTCAGAGTAAGAAGTCCACTATCTCAACATTATTTTGACAAAATGTCTTGCTGGATAGATGCGCACTATTGTATTTCGAAATAACACTGCTGTATAGAGGTACCTAAGTGTGCGACACTGGGAAAATCTAATTATGCTAGTAAAAGATAAGACATAATGCAAAGCCATGGAAGTTAATTTTGGGAGAATTAGTATTGAATTCCTCAGTTTACCATAGCTTGAGTTACTGAGGTGAACATCAGAAATAGTCATTACTGCACAATAAAGTTATGATGTAATTTCAAGGGCATTTTTGTAATGTTGGGAGGCCGCATTTTTTTCACAAGACATTCCAAATATGTACCCATAAAATTAAAGAATACGGAGCCTCAGATTTTCAAATTATGCATGCAAGACGTGGTTAAGGGCCTAACTTTCATGGTTTCTCTAAATTGAGGCTATGTCTACACTAGAAGTTTTGTCAGTAAAACAATGACAAAAACACTCCCTTCACTGACATAAGTTTCACTGAAAAAAGTGCTGGCGTTGACAGCAATTTTTTGGCTAGAGAATGTCTCTTGTTGACATAGATACTGCTGCTTGTCAGGAGTGGTTAAATTATACTAAGATAGGAGAGAATAGAGAACCTACATAGAAGACCTTACAGAAGTGCAGCTGCAGCAGTATAGCTGTTGCACTGTAAGATCTGTGGTGTAGATATACCCTAAAAGTTAATGGTTAATAAGTCTATTTGGTCCTATCTGCACATCTGAAAACTGCTATGGATCTTAAAGGAAAACTATACCGATTAATTAGGACCTCTTCAATGGCTAAAGATTACCCAAATAGCAATGTTAATACAAATAATATAGAAACATTATTTAGGAGTTCATATTACTATGTCAGTATGACCATGAAGGGTAAACAGGGCTGCTGTCTTATTGATACTTCCCAGAAGAAGGCCTCTCTGACAGTGTAGATTGGACCAGTGAAATGATTGCATTATGAGTGCATTATAAAAAAAAATACTTTAAAAGGCATTATAGAATCATAGCACTGGAAGGAACCTTGATAGGTCATCAAGTCCAGTCCTCTGAACTCATAGCATGAACAAGCACCATCTAGACTACCCTTGAGAGTTGTTCGTTTACACTGCTCTTAAAAATCTCCAATGATGCAGATTCTACAATCTCCTTAGGCAATTTATTCCAGTGCTTAACCACCCTGACAGAAAGTTTCCTCTAATGTCCAATCTAAACCTCCTTTGCTGCAGTTTAAACCCATTGCTTCTTGTTCTATCCTCAGAAATTAAGGAGAATAATTTTCCCCCTCCTCATTGTAACAACCTTTTTGGTACTTGAAAACTGTTACCATGTCCCCTCTCAGGGTATGTCTATACTGCATTCCTCTTTCAAGAGAGGAATGCAAATGCAGGTGAATGAAATTGCAAATGAAGCACGGATTTGAATTTCCCACACTTCATTTGCTTAATCGCGTCCGGCCGCTATTTCGAAATACCCTATTTCGAAAAAAGAAACACTATGCGGAAGCGGTTATTTTGAAAGAAAACCCTTCTTTCGAAATTACTCTTAAACTGGTAATTTAAATTAAATTAAACAGGGTAATTTCAAAAGAAGGGTTTTCTTTTGAAATAACCATGTCTGCACAGCGTTTCTTTTTTCGAAATAGGGTATTTCAAAATAGCGTCCGGATGCGTTTCTTTTTTCGAAATAGGGTATTTCAAAATAGCGTCCGGATGCAATTAGGCAAATGAAGTGTGGGAAATTCAAATCCGCGCTTCATTGGCAATTTAATTCACCTGCATTTGCATTCCTCTCTCGAAAGAGGAATACATTGTAGACAGACCCTTAGTCTTCTGTTTTCCAGACTAAACAAACCTAATTCTTTCAATCTTTCCTAATAGGTCAGGTTTTCTAGACCAGTGGTCTCCAACCTTTTTAAGCAAAAGTTTACTTTTTGAATTTAAGTGCAATCCAAGATCTACCTCAAATATAAATACCCTTGCTCCTTGTCTGAGGCCCCACCCCTGCTACCTCCATCCTCCCTCTGGGTATGTCTACACTACCCCGCTAGTTCGAACTAGGGGGGTAATGTAGGCATACCGCACTTGTAAATGAAGCCCGGGATTTGTATTTCCCGGGCTTCATTTGCATAAGCCGGGCGCCGAACTAGCTGTACTCCTCATTCCACGAGGAGTACAGCTAGTTCGGATTAGAAGCCTAATCCGAACTAGCTACTCCGTGCCGCGTGTAGCCGCGTGGCACGGGGTTCGAACTAGCCGGGATTTAAAAATGGCGGCGCCCGGCTTATGCAAATGAAGCCCGGGAAATTCAAATCCCGGGCTTCATTTGCAAGTGCGGTATGCCTACATTACCCTCCTAGTTCGAATTAGGAGGGTAGTGTAGACATACCCTCTCTTGCCCATCCTCGCTCACTTTCATCAGGCTGGGGCAGAGAATTGGGGTGCTGGCTCTGGTCTTAGATTAAGGGATCTGGAGTGTGAGAGAGACTCTGAGCTGCTCTTGGGGCAGGTAGTTGGAATGCAGGAGTGCTCGGGGCTAGGCCAGGGACTTAGAGTCCAGGAGAGGGTTCATAACTGGGGTTAGGTTTCAGGATGTGAACTCCAGCTGGGCACTGCTTACCTCAGGTGGCTCCTAGTTGTTGGTGCAGTGGGGCTAAGGCAGGCTCACCCCTGACCTGGACCTGCACCACTCCCCAAAGCAGCCAGCAAACTCCATCTCAAGTCCTGATGTGCCCCTCTCTGCTTTGTGGAGAAAGGATACAGAGTGGGAGGGGCACCTTGGTATCAGCACCCCTCCTTTCCCTCCTGCCCAGAAAGCAGGAGGCTCCCCAGGGAGAAGGGAAGCTTCAAGCAAAGGGCAGAAGATGACCAGCAGTGCGGGGAGGGTCACCTGAAGTGCTGGCACTTGATACCTCTTGGTCAAACCAGTCAAGATCAGCTGTCAGAGGTTCCAACATCTATCAGTAGATCCTAATCTACTGGTTGGTGACCACTGTTCTAGACCTTCAGTCATTTTTGTTGCACTTCTCTGGACTTTCTATAGTTTGTCCACACCTTTCCTGAAATGTTGTGCCCAGAACTGGACACAGTACTCCAGCTAAGGCCTAATCAGAGTGGAAGAATTATTTCTCATGTCTTGCTTAAACATTCCTCCTAATGCATCCCAGAATAATATTTGCTTTTTTTTGCAATGGTATTACAGTGTTGACTCATGTTTAGTTTGTGTTCCATTGTGATCTCTAGATCCCTTTTTGATGTACTCTTTCCTAGACACTAATTTTCCATTCGTATGTGTGGAACTGATTGTTCCTTGCTAAGTGGAGTACTTACTGAATGTCCTTACTGAATGTCATGCTATTTACCTCAAAAACATTTCTCCTGTTTGTTCTAGATCATTTTGAATTATTATCCTACCCTCTAAAGCACTGACAATCACTCCAAGCTCGGTATCATATGCAAACTTTATAAGTGTATTCTCTATGCCAGGGGTGGCCCATGGCTTGTGAACCACATGCAGCTCTTCAAAGAAAAAATTGCGGCTCCTGCACCCGTACCAAGTGGCTCTGAAAGGGGCAGAGGGTTTCTGTCTGAAAAAGACAGAGTCAGAATTGCAGCGTACCATGCAGACTTCAAAATGGCCACGTTCAAAGGGCAATGGCTGCTCTGCTCTTAAAAGGGTGATGGGCTTTTTTTTTTTCTCAACAACTTTTTTTCCCTTGGCTCTTTGCGCTGTATCCACCATTATTTTGGCTCTTCATCTGTAGCAGGTTGGCCACTCCTGCCCTTCTAACATGGCTATGAACCATGGGTAACCTCCTCAGTCAGCTCCTTGAGTATTCTAGGATGCATTTCATTAGGCCTTTGTAACTTCAGAACATCTAACTTGTCTAAATAATTTTAAATGCCTCCTCCCACTATTTTAGCTTTTGATCCTACACCATTTTCACTTGCATTCACTATGTTAGGTTTGCAGTCACAACCAACCTTCTTGGTGGAGACCTATACAAAAAGTCATTTCCACAGTTTCTGTTATTGTTTTCCTATTTTCATTGAGTAATGAGCCTGCTCTGTTCTTGGTCTTCCTCTTGCTTCTAATGTATTTGTAGAATATTTTCTTGTTACCTTTATGCCTTTAGCTAATTTGAGCTCATTTTGTGTGTTGGCTTTTCTAATTTTTCCCCTACATATTTGTGTTATTTATTTATATTCATTCTTTTCAATTTGATCTAATTTCCTCTTGTTGTAGGACTCTTTTGATTTTTAGATAATACAATATTTCCTGATTAAGCCAGGGTGCTCCCTTGTCATACTTCTCAACTTTCCTATGCAATGGAATAGTTTGCTTTTGTGGTCTTAATAATGTCTCTTAGAAAAACTGACAACTGTCTTCAGTTATTTTTCCCATGGGCTCTTACCTACCAACTCCCTGAATTTACTAAAGTTTGCCTTCTTGAAATCAATTGTCTGTATTTTGCTGTTCTCCTCCCTGCCATATCTTAGAAGTTAGACTCATGAACACTATCACTTTGTGATCACTTTCACTCAAACAGCCTTCCCTTTTCAAATTCTCAACCAGTTACTCCCTATTTATCAAAATAAATTCTAGAACAGCCTCCCCTCTAGTAGCTTTCTCTACCTTCTGAAATAAAAAAGAAAGTCTCCAATATATTCCAAGAACTTGTTGAATTATCTGTGCCCTGCTGTGTTATTTTTCCAACAGATGTCTGAATATTTGAAATCCCCATTCACCATCAAGTCCAGTGATTTGGAACGTTTTATTAGTTGTTTAAAAAAATCCTCACCAACTTCCTCTTCTTGGTTAGGTGTTATATATAGTAGATCCCAACCATGATATTATCCCTCGGGGTTTTTTTTTTACACTTTTCATCCTAACCTAGTCTTCTATTTCTATTTCTAGTCTGTCTTCTATTTCCATCTCAACTTCAGTTCATTTTCATGTTTAAGGCAAAAACTCCATTTTTCTCCACCTGTCCTTTCTGAGCAAGCCGGGCCCTTCTATATCCATATTCCAATCATGAGTAGCATCCCACCAAGTATCTGTATTGCCAACCATGTCATAGTTTGTCTATTTTCCAGCATTTTGAGTTCTTTCTGCTTAATCCCCTTACATTTGTGTGCAGATATCTAAGATACTGACTTGCTCGTGCACTTTACAATGTTAAATGCGTTAGTTTGTCAATTTGGACTGTCATGAATTCTGATATGATGTTATGGCCATCCCCTCTGCTCTAATTTGCATCATGTCAAGAGAGAACCTTCATTGTTGATGTTTACTTTTTATTATTCTTATCAAGGGAACATTTATATTTCTGACAGGCAAGAACTGACCTCTCTTAAGTTCCTCCTGAGTCCCACACAATAAAACAAAATGATTTTTTCCAAGTGTACTAGTACCAGAGCCAAATAAAGACAATTGAGCTCCCACGGTTGTCAATGGAAAGACTCCCACTGACTTCAGTGAGAGTTGGATTGGGTTTGTACAGAAGAACTATTCCTTTTCTGTGCTAATCTCCATGTAACACATTCTTTATATTGTTGTTATTTCTTTGATATTATTAGAATCTTTTAAAATTATATTGCAGTTTTCCTTGAAGCTTACCCTTTCAATTCAATTTGTCTTGTTCAAACAATATTCTTTCTTTTTATAGTCCACAAGTATATTGTCTCTATCCACATTGGTGACCACTGGGGATCAGAAACCTTTGCAAATGTTTATATCACTCTGTATGGTAAAAGAGGGGACACAGGTGTGAGGAAACTACATGAATCATTGGTAAAAGGAGGACCATTTCAAAGGAACAAGGTAAAAAGACACAAATGTAAAGGTTTTTTTTACCAACTCAGACAATAGCGCTGTTTTTTAATGTCTACCACAAGCTCTTGATTCTAAGAGCAAAATTTTCCTTATAGATTTTCACATCAGATCAACTTCTATATTCTGTTCCCGCTTTATGCCTAGATTCTCCATAGGTGCTAATCAGGAGCCTATATCTGCATGTGTAAAGGAGCTTATCTGAGTCATAACCCTTGTGATCATGCCTCTCAACTTTTTATGTCTTAAAGGTGGGATGTGGTGTGTGACAAAGAACCAAAATTAGTGTCATAAAAATGATTCACGCAGAAAACTTACATTGCTGTAAGATTCGTTCCCTTAATGTAAATAGCTGTTTTGGTAATCATAGTTTGTTTATTATTTCTGTTGATAATTTTCTACAATAAAAGTGAGGGGGAACCAAATTTGTGTGGCACATAAGTAGCCATTCATACTAAAACAAATGATATAGTTCTAAAAAAGAGAGATTTTAATGTAAAACTTCAGATGAGAAATTTTATTAAAATAAGGTAATGAACAGAGAGATTAAAATAAGATGACCCTTTTTTGTACTTATTTATCACCAAGTGTGTAGTATTTTCAAGAAAAGAGACGGTCTTAGATTTCTGTAATATTATTCAATTTCATTTCATATCAACAACATAAAGAATAGAGAACCTCTCAACTGCTTCTACATATCTCTCAAGCCCACTTCCTATTAACTAACTGCAGGATCCACAAAGAGATACTGTGCCAAACTTAACTTAGATTCTTTGTCAAACAGTGTCTCTAGGTAAGCTCCACTTCAGATGCGCATGAGCTATTTGAGCCCTTGATTGGAGATTCCTAGCTATCTGTGTCTGTTTGGCTCTCACATGCACCTTAAGCCTCCTTGTGGCAGACACCAGGCTATACAGGAGTGTATGGGTGAACCACCCTCAATTCCTGCTCTGATGCCTCACTCTGAGATGGAACCCTAAGGTTTCCACCTAGCGCATACTCAGCCTTCTGTTTTTTTATTGCTGTTATGTAGTTTATAGTTAGTTAGCTAGGTAGGTGAGAAGATTGTTTTGCATTCTCTTTTCTTCTCTGGGAGACTTGTCTAGTCCTAGTGAGGTATGCCTGGCTCACCAGTCTTCAAATGTTGTCTTTTTTGTCAGGAAGCTGTACCAGTGAGCAATGGGCACTCCATTGTCTGGGGAAGTTCCACATCTTGCAGAACTGTTCCTTCTGCTTGGCCCTAATATCCCGGACAAGAAATATAAGGGAGATAAAGCTCAGAGTGTTAACCATAAAATACTCCTCACATCACTCTGACAGGTCAGGAGAGCCCCCTCCCCACCCCGCAACACACAACTGTCCCTGGACAGATTCAAGACCCTGGGAATCTTAGGGCATTCTTCCGCTATATAGGGGAAATCTTTGAAGCCTACTGAAGATACCCAGAAGGAGAAACATGGACTTTCAGTCTAAGAAGCCATCTCCAAAAAAGATCAGGTCCCCATCAAGGTCATCATTCTTTGAAGGTATCTCTGAGGCCAACGACCCTTCTTCCAGTACAGTGGGTCTCTAAAGCCATGGAACTCCAAGGACAAGAAACTTGGCTCCATAGGGCCCCAGAACCATCCCTCAATAAGGGGGATAAGCGTAGGGTACCATCGTGTTTGACCCTGCTATTGGCACCAAAGGATCTATTCTGTTGTTAGTGCTGTCCTGAACCTTAACCTACCCATCAGTACTGATGCAAGCAGCTCACTGGGGTTATCCTCAGTACCAAATAAGCAACAGTGCCAGATGTCTATGTTGCTAGTGGTGCACTGATCATCAGTACCAGCAGCCTTCTGCTATTATTACCTTGGCTATAGAGTCAGTCTCCAATCACTCCCATCTGTCTTCAATAGCACCCCCGTCCTCATAGGAGGATGTGGTGGAAGAGACAGAGGACTCCTAATTAGTCTCCTTGTTTTTGGTGAGGGCTTCTCCTACATTCTCCTTAGGGAATCTACTTTGGTCAGCTGCAAGAGGACTATGCAGGTCATCAAAGATGATGGAGCCAGCCTTGCTTGTTACCTCCTCTTCCTTATGGACCCCAGCAATGGCTATATTGGGACCTGTAGGCCACATAGCAGCAGCAATTTACCACACTACCAATACTTCCCCTCAAGGAAACCATAGTTTCACACCCATCCTCTCCCCATCCTGTACCCTTTGTGACTGTTGGGCACAAGATAGTCAGGAACAATTGTCTCTATTTCGTGCCCATCATCAGGAGCAAGGCAATCAGGGTAATGATGTGCAACATTAACAAGCAGGGAGGAACAAGAGCCCACTCCTTGGGCAATAAAGCCATAAAGCTGTAGAACAGATGTATAATCCACCATATCCTGATTTGAGTGGGTCTAACTCCCAGGCATTCAGAACACCACAGCCAATGCCCTCTGCAGACATTTCTCCTTCTCCTATGAATGGAACCTAGACACCCAAGTTGTCCATAGCATGCCCCAGAGATGAGGCCTACCAGAGATTGATCCTTTATGCCATTTCAGAGAGTAGGGAGTACCTTCTCTTCTGTTTGAGGAGGAATCTATGTCACTACGCTCCTGGGATACCTTCCTTCTACTGTTGAAGTATGTTCTAGTCCCTTCCCCCAACACCTCTAATTCTAAGGGGGCTGAATAAGATCTGGTAGAATAAAGTCAGAATCCTCCTCATAGCACATGCCTATCCAAGACAATATTGATACTGTTACCTGTTTCAACTCAGTGTGCAACCATCAATCAAATTCCTTCATCTCTTGTCTCTGGGTGTGGCTCCTTGTTGGTTCTTGGGAACAGAGGCTTCCTGCTCTATGGGTATGCAACAGGTGTTATTAAACAGGAGACAAACATAAACCCCCACTATTTACCTACCAAAATGCAAGAGATCTATCCATTGGTTTGGTTATTGCTACCTCTGCCCTGAACTGGTTCCTTTTTCTCTCATCCTAGATATCTAACGATATCTGGGTTATCTATCAGTTCAGCCACAGTGCCAGCCGTTCATCCCCCACTCAAAGGACTCTTCATTTTTGCTCACCTGAAATCATCCAGATTTATTAAGGGTCTGGGTAATCTCTTCCCCCACATTAGACTCTGACTCTAATTTAGGATTTCAACCTGATTTTCAATCACTTAATAAAACCTCTATTCAAGCCAATGGTGAACTGTCCTATTTCATTCATCAGTGAAGATGTCCTTCTCAGTTGCAATCATGTCAGTTCCTAGGGTCAGAGAGACTGCAGTCTTGATGGCAGATCTCTCTCCTTCACCTCTTTACAATGTTCTTTATGAAAAGATCATTAAAGTTCCACATCCTAAGTTCCTATCAAATGATCTTCATCTTAACTATTCTAGCCATCTACTGGTATTTTTTTCTAAAATCTCAAATTTCTCAGCAGGA